GCAACGACAAAACACGTGTCGAGAATATTTTCGGTCGAAGTGTTTGTGATTGTAGTTGCGCTTGTGTTATTTATTTTATAAACTGTTTGTGGAGGGAGAGTGGAAAAATTAACTGCAAGAAAAAATATTCAACACAAGATTTAACTTTCACTGGGTTCACGGAGTAGCAAAACTAATTTACTTCCATCTTTATTAACAGCAACTTCCGCAAAGTAACGCCTGAATCTATTAATTATGTAGCAAATCGTTTATTTGTATTGTTTTCAGTTTCTCATTAGTTTATTTGTCGCCGGAGTAAATTTAGATTTATGTGAGAAATTGAAACCTGCTCCAGTGCATTTTGTGTTTTTTATGATATTAAGTGGCGGGACGAACAAGTCGTGCGCCTGGTGGTGAGCGACACGCCTATCCGTGACAGTTGCAGTGCTACTCAAAACTTTAAATCGCAAAGATCTGAAGGGCGCTATCACTGCACCCGTCATCCTGAGACACGATGTCTCAGTCTTATGTGCTTGTGATTTCACTAGCACCCTTACCCTTCAAAACCAAGCAGTAATGGTCACATTACTGCTTGTCAGCAGAAACAGGTAAGATGGCAGTACTTCCATGGACGGGCCTAACTTCTTTTAATTGAAATATATGTACCTATGCTAATAACAAGCGATGGGACAAACAAGTCGCGTGCCTGGTGGTAATCGACATACCTATTCAGTTGCAGTGCCACTCGGAGCTTTTAATCGAAAATCTTCGACTGTGCCCGTCGCTCTGAGACATAACTTGACAAGTCCATCCATGTGCCTGTAATTTCACCAAATTAATATGTCCCACAAATTTTTAAGTGTTTGTCTGTGGTGAAGTCTGAATTATTTTTTTTTAATGTAAATATCTTATTGTTATTCACTTGATTCTATTTTTAGGAAGGACAGAAAAACTTTTGTAGAAGATGAACAAAAGGACCAAAAATAGACCTATTGACTCATTTCAACCACACAAAAAATCGGGTTTTTAACATAAAAAAATTCGAGTTGAATTTTTTTAAATTCATAATGAAAGTAAAAGATATCGCTATGAAGTCGAAAATACGACTGACTAAACTTTGCTCGATAAAAAAATATCACACACTTCTGCAAAATTTTCGTTTTTTACTACGTTCATCTACGGAAACATTAGTTTCATTCAATTAGATTTATTTCAATGAAATTGTGTCTCTCGCGTTCTGTAATAATTACGTCATAAGAGTATGAGCTTAGTTTACAGTAAGAGAGTATATTTTCACCTCACTAACTCGGAAAGACTGTCATTAAAAATCTGCGCGCAAAAGCTTTTCCTCCGCGCTAGAGTGGAAAAGGTTTTTGAAATTCGAACTTGACGATGAACAAAAAAATTATATCGTACATTATATAAGTAACGTAAATCCGTTGGTATATTTTATTCTTATTATTGTTGACATTAAATTGACAATGATAAATTTTGTTTATTACATTATTTTGTCATAGTTCAACTATTTTTCTTTCATCTACTATTTTATTCGTCTTGAAAAGTTGTGTGTTCCGCTCGGCAGCAAAGTTGGTTTACGTCTAGTGTCATGAAACTTTCGCTACATTCTGAATTCAGGTTACAATTTGTATTGTGCTTGTGCACTCGCGTCAAACAACAACTTTGCAGTCTTGCATAACAAATAACTATTATTCCTAAAAGGCAAATTTTAAAAACCTCGTAATGAATTTTTCCGCGTTTACTTCATATGTTTTAAATTTTAATTTTTCTTCAATAGTTTAATTTAAAAGAAGGCCAAAATGTCGAAAATTCCTTCTTCACGGTAACTTTTTAGAATACTTGAGAAACTTATGGGCAGCTAAAATATAAAATTATTAAAATCCATTTTTAACCGACTACAAAAAAGGAGATTCTTAATTCGACTGTATTTTGTTATTGGTATTTCGATATTTGTGAACCGATTTCGATGATCTTTTTTGTTGAAAAGAAAATATCTCAGTAGTAGTTTTATTCAAATTTGAAGAAAATATTCCTTCTCTAAAGGTGCCAAATTCGGAAATGAATCTAGTTTATTGAATTTAACTCAACTTCCGGTAACGGATGTCAATAAAACTTGGCAAACGGAAGCAGATGAGCTACCTTTTAATGTCAATTTTTTTATAAAAAAAGTTATAATTATGATTTTTCCTATTAATTTAATGACTACTTTTAACATAAATTATGTTCGCGTATTTATTTATTCTCAATATGTGACATTCTTGACTGTGACCATGGGACCTGTAAAGGGCCCGAAACGTTGGTTTGTTCGAAAAAACAAATATACGCGATTTAAATCCGGAAAAATAGTTTCATTTCCTACATGACATTCTGGTCACTAGGGTTACATACAGATTATTGCTTTTTTTACTGGGCTTATTTGAGTAGAAACTATTTGTATTAAAATCAACATCAGATGCTTCTCAAACTATACAATGGTGAAATGAAGCCTAAAATTGTGGAACGAGAGGCATAATTCTCTGTCCATGTCAGAGACACGCACCTGCCTCTGATTTAAGGGATTTGTCACGACAGATGGGCTCTAGGGATGCACTGATATCCGAAATGTTGGAAAATTATCTTAAGTATATTTACGAGCCGACGTTGGCGCGGGTGACGTCACAATTGAACGCTTTCAGCAATGAATTATGACCGTATTTTCAACACTTAAGGTTGATAATTCATTACTAAAGACGTGCAGTTGATAGACTATGGAGTTCTAAACTTGGCGAGAGACGGTCCTAATGGTAATGTTATGTGTATTAATAGTAATAATAATAATGTGAGAGATAACCACACCAATTGTACCTTTGTTAACTGGAACACTGGCGAAATGATGAACGCTGATGAACAAGGTGTTCATCCAGCTATGTTTTTTGTATCAGTAGCGATCCTTGTGAAAGAGTTCGTCCAGGGAAGTACTGCCGCCTTACCTATTTCTGCTGTCAAACAGTAATGACGGCATTACGGAGTTCCGGTTTTGAAGGGTAAGGGTGCTGGTCAAATTACAGGCACATGGGACTTGTCAACTTGTGTCTCAGGGCGACAGACGCAGTGGCAGTGCTCCTCAGATCTTTACGATTTAAAGCTCTGAGTGGCACTGCAACTGTTATGAACATGCGTGTAGCTTACCAGCATGCGCACGACGTGTTCGTCCCGTCACTTGATATTATTGAAAAAAAAAGTAACAATTTTGTTTATTTTTCTTTATGAAAAGTAAAAGTAATTGCTTGCGACAATAATGGCAGCCTTTTCTAGTTTCTTCTCTATAAATGTCATTGTTAGTCATTTTCGTACGTGTTTTTAATTACATTTTAAGTTATATTATAATTTTAGTGTTAACTAACATTGGTACTTTCGTGCCATCTCATCTTTTATAACATTGGTTCCAACTAAAACCCAACGTTGCGGCAGGCGCGCTGCGACATTTATGCTGAGTTGGATCATTTCAGCTCATATTGTAATCACTAATTTGTTTTGAATTGTTTTTATGTCTCGTAATAAGCTGACTAAACGTTTCTTTCTTTCTTTATTCTTTGCTTATCTGGTCATATTTGGTTTAACAAATTAATCCTCGAGTTGAGCTCTTTGTTTTTTTTTCCAGGTGTAACATATTTTGGAGGATTGTTTAAATGGACCGAACATAAAAGGAACATAGATAAAAAAAGTAATTTTTACACAGATAACCATTTATAACCACCATAATAACCAAAGATGAAGTTGAAATCATGCATCCAATTCATTTCAAATTCGTTCAAGGACCAAAAAACATCGCCATTTGCTTACGTACGCAACATAATAAATAAATTATTGGATATAATATACCAATTGAACTCACGTAAATCTAAGGAAACTGTATTGAAATGGCTTTCAATGCTAAATTACAATGACACAGAAGCACTTTTGCAATATACCTCTTCCCCTTAGATTAATAATGAACCACTAATCAAAATATTGTTTATATTTTTATCTACATAGATATATACATACGATTGTCAATCAGTACATGAAATTGCACAGACAAAATAATACACGCACGCACGCACACGCGTGCGCACACACACACACACACACACACACACACACACACACACACACACGTTTTATTTAAATAATGTCAAAATTTTAATTATTTTTGTTACTTTAAATTTTATTTTATGTGTTAGTTCTGAAATTCAGTTCTATTAAAGTACGTCTGCGTTAAGGAAGAACGGGGCAATTTTTTTATTATTTTTGTTGTCCCGGGGGAATCTGCTTACAGACACTCCGGCTCTGCTCACGCAGGGCCGGGGTGAAATGAAATGAGAGAAATGAAATTTTATTTGCCTAAAACGTGGTGTGAAAGACGGAACAACTATTACAGAACACATGTTTTACCTGACTAGGCATGCAAAATATTACTTAAATTTCATTTAATCATAGCACTGTTATCAGACAAACACACAAACAACAAAATAATAAACTATCAATGTCAAACTATTAAATATTATGCATCATTATTTACATTAAACATACATACCTACACCTTATATTTTCATGTCGACATCTGATAATCAACAAAGAATAATTAGTCAATTAAAAACAACAAAATAATAACCTTCTATGTCAAACTATTAAATATTTATACATCATTATTACATTCTACATGTATGTATATTAAGCACTAATTTCAAGTCAACATTTATCTAAAAAATCAGTCACTTTATAATATTTTTTGTCTCTAAGCCATTCACTAATAACATCATCATAATCATATATACCTATACCCACTGCTGGGTATAGGCCTCCAAGTTTCTGTGCCACTCCACACGATCTCGTGCTAATCTCATCCAGGTTCGCCCCCCAATTGCGATGTCATTCGCCCATCTCGCCGCTGGACGCCGGACGTTCCTGTATCCAGTCCTTGGACACCACTCAGATATCGCCTTACTCCATCTGTCATCTTGTCTCTGTATCAGGTGCCCTGCTCAGCTCCAATTTAGCTTTGTAATGCGGTTCCCTACGTCCTTTACCTTAGTTCGACTTCGAATCTGGTCATTGGTAACACGGTCTATAAGCTTGATACCGAGCATGACACGCTCCATGGTTCTCTGTGCAACTCTCATCCTATACACAGCCTCCTGCGTGAGCGTCCATGTCATAGTAGGCAGAACACACTGATTATATAGACGGGTCTTTAGATCGACAATCTCCAACATCTCGCTTCCAACTGTGGCACTTGGATTTGTGACGTTGTAGATGTTCGCCATAACCTTAGTTTTGGACATGTTCATCTTGAGGCCCACCCACATACAAGCATCATACAGTTGTTGCAGTGTACGCTGGAGATCGTTAAAGTTTTCAACGAGAGAGTCTAGGTCGTCTGCAAACCGTAAGTGGGACAAGAAGACTCCATTGATGTTAACGCCACATTTTGTCCAATCAAGTGTTTTTATTACGTCTTCTAGACAGCAGTAAATAGTTTTGGCGAAACGATGTCTCCCTGGCACACTCCCCTTTTGATTGGTACAGGGTTGGTTGGTGTTCATGCAATCGAACCTGAGAGTTCGCTACATAGATGTACTTCGGGAGCTATACTCATCTGCAGTATAGCTCCCGAAGTAAATCTATGTAGCAAGAATCGATGTTACAGTGATAGAGAGCGTGGAACACGGCCCAATGTTCGATACTGTCGAAGACCTTTTCATAATCAATGAAGGTCACGGCAAGGGGTCGGTTGTACTCGTGACACTTCTCTATCAACTGCTTCACCGTGTGGATGTGATCTATGGTGAAGAAGCCACTTCGAAAGCCGGCCTGTTCGATAGGCTGACATTCATCAAGTTGACGAGGGATGCGGTTTGTTATTAATTTTGAAAACCGTTTGTAAATTTGGAACAATAAACTAATAGGGCGGTGGTTACTCAATTTGGCAATTTTTTGTGTAAAATTTTTACTAACGCGTTCTTCCAATGTCTTGGAGTTTCTTGTAAGACTTTGTTAAAAAGATTATTAAGCACCGACAGTACTGGCTTTCCCCCAGCTCAGAGAAGTTCAACTGTGATCCCGTCCTTGCCAGGAAACTTTTCTGCCTTTATGTAATAAAGAGTTATATATATATATAGTATCTCTTTGTTGGAGGGGCTCTGACAGATCGGATTCATTTAAAATAGATGTGTAAAGTTCACAGTAATATTTTTCTACAATACATAAAAGTTTAGTTCTATCCGTCACTATATTTCCATCAATATCCTTAAGTTTCACAATTTGCTTAGAACCTGTACTTGTCTTCCTTCTACAAATTTTTGGTCCATTATATGTCTTAATAGTGTTAATAATTATATTAGTATTATATTTTCTGACATCATTACGTATTGTCTTATTTATTTCCTTATTTATATATATTTATATCTATATATTATATCTATTTCTTTCTAATCTCTAACATTTTTATATAACATATCTCTCCTATTGTTTATTAGTTCTATAGTTCCTGATAACAACTTTTTATTCCTCTTTCGGACTCCGCCTACATGTACATATATTCGTGGTTTCGGTTAAAGATTTACATAGCAGATTGTGAACGCCATCTACGTCCAAGTTTTATTCATGTAGACCTTCAAATTGATTTTTCAGGTCTACTTGAAAGGCCTCTGGGAGAAGAGAGATTGTTTGTTTTTCATACCTTCTCTGTGATGTTACCATTTCTGCTCTTTCACTCTTGAAATCAAACTCGAGGCTCACTCACACTTAAAATCTGTGATGACTTGCGGTCTTAAATCGTGATAGGGTCGAGACATTGGTTACTACGTACTTATACACTAATAACAAGTAATACTAATAATACAAATTATTCGGTAATGTTTTAATGTCTTTTGGTAGAGCATTTTAAATTCGGACACGATTTTTGTAATAAGGTAATCTAGGTTTATTATTGTACACCAGTTTATTTGGATCCCTTGCACCTCTACTATGTGCATCTGTAATTTTTTGTAAAAGGTTTAGATTTTGCTTAACAAACCATGCCACTTCGAAAGTGTGCATCGCGGTAACGGCAAAATTCCCAAATTTTTAAACAAAGGTGCACAAGATTCCCGTGAGGAAACACCAGTCATTGCTCAAACACACTTTTTTTTGAGCTACGAACAATTTTTACACTCAGTTGAGTTGCCCCAAACCAAGACTCCATATCTAAGCAGAGGCGCAACGTAACCATGACAAGCAGTCAAAACTGTGGATGGTGATGATATATTTCGCAACCTCCTTAAGACGTATACGTAACGATGTAATTTTTCTACCAGTAATATTTCTACTGTATACTAAGAATGTTGTAGAGTCTGCCTCCTGAATATTGATATCCTCGTAATTTATGTGAAGGTTTACAGGTGAATACCAAAAATTAGCAATTATTAAATTGTATTTTCTATTAGTCATTAATTATTACAATTTCTGTGTTTTGTGGAGTAATAAATTTCTTTTTATTTTTTATTTTTTTATAGAGCTTTTTTATGAAACTAAATGACCTAGGTAAGCGACACGCCTGTATATAGCAGTTGCAGTGGCACTGCCATTGCGCCCGACACCTTAAAACATAAGTTGACAAGTCTCATGTGCCTGTAATGGCACCAGCACCCCGATCCCTCAAAACCGGAAAGCAGTAATGCTCACATTACTGCTTTACTTACAGTGTTGCTGCAAAAATATGTAAGGTGGCCGTACCTTGGACGAACTCTTTTACAAGAAGGTCTATTGCTACTAATGCAATATAATATCTTACAATAGAGAAACCACAACGACTTTTGCAAGGTTCTTGAACATAAAACAGAAAATAAAAATGATCTGTAATACTTTGAGTTATGAAAGTGTCCCTTACACTGAACACTGATTATACTTTTGTATTGTAGCGACGACTGGTCTATACGAACGGGAAGTCGAATTTATTAGAATAATATTTTTAGCTTAACTATGCTTAGCTGTAACGTTATTACAGCATGCACTTGGTTTACTCGTAAGTAAAAGCGTCACGAACATCACGGCTAACTAAATAATACAAAAAAGTGTATTGAACTATCCGTGGTTGAAGTCACATAGAGTTGAATTCAATTTAAAAAAACGACATAGACACTAGAATTGTTCTAGAGTTTTATTCAAAGGCCTTTGAAAAGCTTTGAAGTGGATCTGGCAATGAAAACAAGCAAAAAAATAAACATTTGTAGTGGTAGGTTTTGCTTTGTGATTCATTTTAGAATTTTAGGAAAAATTGGTATTTTTTTAATCGAAGGAGAGAATTGGGAACTTCATAAGTTTTTCCAAGGGTAGTAAATCTTCTTTAACGCGCAAATTTTCATCATATTCATCGATATTTAAGGAAGACAGGGCTCTAAGGTCGGTCTAATTTTAAATCACCTCAGTTGCGTGTCAATGGCAAGATTATGTACGGCTGGTATTCTGCTAAAAGTTAAGAAACAACTCTAAGCCACTAGGCTTAACAGTGGATAGCTATCGAAAACCAATCCACAAATTAAGCAGCTTAATATCGCAAATAGACTTTCCACAATATGCTATCAAAGATTTCTAAAATATCCTCAACATTGGTGACATTCTATACTCACGATATGTCAACGTATGTCTATATAGCCACATCTCAATTGACTCCAGTATTGAGCATAATGCTGGGGTCAACACTCCATACCAAACAGCAGGACACTGAAGATATGACAGGTAACTAAACGTATGCGGAGTTAGTCAGCAAGAAGAAGCTATAGAGCTACTATACAACTGCCATTGCAATTTTTTGGTAATCTGCTCTTCAATGGCGATTCGATGGCATGTCGATTGCGTATTCTGTTAAGACTGTTGAGACTCAGCTGACATTGAAACAAGATTTTAGCAGAATAACCACAGAATTGCTTGGACATTTGATACGACACGACTACTTCTTCAAGACTATTTTAGAGGGCAAAATCGAAGGGAAGAGGTCAACCTAGGCGCAGTTACACAGACCAAATAAAGGAAAAGGCCGGTGTCGTCTCATATAAAGAGGTCAAGGAGCTGGCTTATTGAGGCTTATGATTATAAGATGCTCCACCGGCAAGAGTATAAGTTCGATGATGATGAACCACAGAATAACAAAAATTATCACAATAAATTGTCATAGTCTTAGTGCAATTTATGTAATGTAATGTAATATATAATGTAATGTTTATATAATGTACATATATATGTACACACACACACACACATATATATATATATATATATATATATATATACATAATATTGCGCATTTTTGTATATTTCATAGACCACATAAATGGAAAACCATTTTAGCGATATCTCACCGCTAGACCATTTTTAATTATTACCTCGATGGCTTTCTAGAATAGCGGCTTATCTCAAAATCACCGGTTTCATCAACAAGATTTTTTAAAAACAGTTACAGAATATCTAAAAACGTCAAGTCGACGAATCCTATACAGGCCCACGTTTGTCACGTGATTATTTGAAAAAAAAATGAAGCTTGATGTCTTTTTTCACAATAAAATTTAGTACATTAATTGTCGTGTAATAAGACAAAATCTAAACTATTTTCATTTAGGTCGCTATTCTAGAATGGCAGCGACCAGTCAAAACCTTTCCTAATATACCCGTTTAGCATAGTGTAGGTATTTGTTCTCAGCTACTGTCTTGTCTGTATTGTCTGCAGCTGCTGAGCCCCCCCACACCTTGGCGTGGTGGGGGGGCTCAGTAGCTACAGGCAATCCAGCCTGTAATGAAGCTAAGAAGCAAACGGAGGACCCTTCCGCGTGTCCCTCTGATCAGCAGAGGGCACAGCGGAGCTGCCAGGTGGGTACTCAGATTGAGTGTCTGCCCGAGGAGCTGAGACAGAGTCGTGAGACATGCCCGCCAGATATGGTGGATTTCGGTTCCTGTGCAACGGAGATAAGGGGCACATATTTGCTCCACTAGCAAAAGGCGACTTCTTTTGCTCTGCTCGACACGTCTGTTTTCGGACGGACCTAGGCCTTAGCTACCGTCGGGCAACCCGTAATCCCACATTGAGCGGGGCCGGGGGCTCACCTCACTGAGAGGAGGGCCGCGAGGAAGAAAACCTCTATAAAAATCACCCCAATCCCAAGTTCCGACGCCCGGCGACGGGATGAGTGACTGGAGGGTATCCAGTCTCTAGGGCGTCACACAGGGGAGTTGAACCCCTTTAAAAAACAAAACTATGGAAAAGGCTAGTTTGAAAAATGGTTATGCCCAGGCGGATCCCCGAAAGGGGGAATCCCGCCCATCCGCTTCGGCGGGTGGCAGCCCCTCGTACTCTTGGGGGGGCAAAAACTGCCTCGTGAGCCAGCCTACCACTGACTCTCGTGAACACGACCTGGCGATAACTCTGGACACCGATACTGCTTGTGTATTGAGTGTAGACGAATTGGAGGTGGCGGCGGGAACCCCGAAGGCACCCGTCAACACCAACGACCCTGGCAAGAACATGGCGGAGCAGGCTGAGCGCCTGCTCACACGAGATGACTTGGGAAGGTTCGCGCGTCCTAGGGCACCGACACCGAGTGCTGTTGGGGAAAGCGGCGAAGAGAAGTCCGACTGCTCCTTCATGTCGCTCGCCTCAGTTTCATCTGCGACGTCGGCTTGCGGCCGTACCAGAAAGCGCGCTAAGCCGCCTTCAGCGGAGACACCGGCCCCAAAGAGAAGGCAACAGAAAAGCTCAGGTGACGAGAAAGCGGTATTGGATCCGTCTGTCGCCCCACGGCATACTCGGTCCAAATTATCGTTTCCTAGCAAGGACGACCTGGTGAAGGAGATGGAGGCCCTTCCGACGACCGAGGTCGGATTGCGCATTAAGCAAAACCTCGACACGGTCGAGAAGGTGGCGGACACTTCAGGCCACCTCAAGGGTCCATACGTCCGAACTCTCAGGGTGGCGGCGAGGACCGTTCAAGCGGCTGGCGAGGAGCTGGCCCGACGGTCCTGCATCGGAACCAACGCGGAGAGACTGGAGAGAGAGAATGCAGAGCTGCGTTCTCAGCTCACCAGCCTCTCAGCTATAGTAGAATCTCTGAGGGAAGAGCTTCGCTCCCTCCAGCGGGCCGACACTCAGACCCCAGAACCCTCACCGACACTCGGCTGCGGGCCCGCGACGGTCTCAATGCCGGCACCGAGCCGGGGACCGGTGACAACATTGGCGGCGATTTCAAATTGCGGACCCGCGACGTTGGCTCGTTGGCCGCGGTGACGGAGCCATATCGAGTACCGGACCATCCTAAATGGTTTGGTGACTCCGCAGGCTCTGTCGCTATCCACTGGAGAGGCGGAGAGGAGGACCCACACTGCACCCTGCTCGAGCAAGGGCAGGGTTTTGTTGCAGTGGAATCGAGTCCTCTCGCCGTCGTGGGCTGCTATGTCTCCCCCAACGTGTCCCTCGCCGCTTACGAGGGAAACTTGGACTGGGTGGCAAACTGCGTTTGCAGATGTCATCCTCGTCCCGTTATTATCCTGGGCGACTTCAACGCTCGCTCTAGAGCATGGGGCGACGTCCGGGATAGTGTCCGAGGGGAAATAATGCTAG